TATATATATCTATATCTATATCTATATCGAGCGGTATGTCAGATCGTACCGCTTGGTATACTCATACCGAGCTGAGCTCAATGCTCCGGTACGGTATGAAATTATGAACCTTGCTCTGAACTAACTAAGAGCACCTAGGATTTCTTTAGGCTATTTGCGGCCTCCCCTGAATACTGTAGATTTATGCTTCTAGATGTGCCAGCACACATGAATGAAAAAGCCATCCCAAAAGCTTTTCAATTATAATTTAACTCACTTGGGAGTAAGAGTTTATTAGTTAAGAAGATTTGAAAAATATTTCCTGTCCTTGTTTTTAGTCTGACTTTTGACTGATCTTCACTGAAATTCAGTTGCAATTATTAGATAAAAACATTTCACTAGTTTATGCTGGTACAAAATTATTGGTCTTATGATGTGAAAATTCAACTTATAGTCTTATTGGTCTTTTATGTAGATGAATTCAATGAATTTATGCTTTATACTACTCTATGTACATCAGTGCATTATTTAGCTTCACTTACCTGTATTATTATGCAGGTTGATTTGCTGGAAGCTGTAAATGAGTTTCTTGAAATTGTATCATATTTTGCTAGCAGAATTTGTGCTGCCAATATAGATATATGTAGGAGTTCAGCAAACCTGTTATATGAACAAGGTGAAGATGTCCTTCAGGTACATGACCATTTTGTTATTTCAGAGTTTATAATTTCATCAACTCAATGAAATATAATATTTGCTTTTCTCAGGTGTCCTCCCTTGTTGCATCAATTTTGACTCTTTATGCTAGTGGCTTGCACTTTAAATATAGCAGTATTCAGCCTAAAGAAAGTGTGAGTGATTTCCATAGTTCTAATAATGCCAACACTATCATGTTATTTCATGACTGTGGAGTTGATCTGCAAAAATTGTCTATTATACTGGACAGTTTAGCAAGTAGCTTTCACATGTCAAGTTATGTAAATGAAACAGTTTTCAATAGTGAGATCAAAGACTCGAGGGTTTTGCCGGCGGTGGCTTCAGAATCTGGCAAGTTTGATGCTTGTATGCAGACACATGGAAAAACCTCGCTAATTTCATATATAGATGCTTTGGAGTTTCTATGTAAGCCAATAGTTGAAAATGTAAACACAGCTTGGAAAAACTTGACTCCTGAACAAGAATCTATTCTTCATTCGGACACCTTAAATTATGTTCAGAAGGTGTTGCATCAGTTTTCTGATCTAATACTTGCTGCCTCCAGGTAAGAGTATGAAAAATATCTCTTTGGTAGTTCATCTGCATGCTTTTAATTTTCTTGATTTATTCTGGATCATATTCTAATCATGATATTTAATAGCTTATGAAGAATTCTTCATTTATTTTTAAATTTTTTATGAGTGATGTTATTGACTTGTCAACATGTAGACATAGTGATATATCTGAGAGGGTGGAGCAGAGGTTAAATGAAAGCCATGGAACATTGCTTCAAGTTGCAGTTGCAGCTTTCAGAATCTCCCTTCTAATTGGTGGAAAATACCAGGTTATTTTGATCATCATATGTCAAATTTAATAATTCATCCTTTAGCTAATATCTGCTCATACACTTTTCTGCCACATGGTGCTATTTTCTTATTTCAGAAGAGTCTTCTTCACATCAATTGTATCATTTCAAGTACATGGATTGAGCCTCAAGAGCTGAAGTTTCTTATTTCAGCAATTAGTAATGTTGGAGCTGTATGTTACAATAATGGATGGTTGGAGAAGGTATGCATGTCTTTAGTATATGACTGTAATATCTTCTTCCCTTTGCTAGCCAGTTATAATATGGAAGTTCTTTATATACTCGCCAATTTCTTTGTGTTTTTTTTCATTGTATAGATGTCTATAATAAAGCTGTGCATTTATGTTGTCTTGAAAATTTTGAAACAAACGATTCAATATGGGTGCCATTGGAATAAAATGTGTAAGGCTAGATTGACACAAAACTCCTCACCTGTAATCTATAAACCCTAGTTGGACCATGGTTTGAGTGTTCTTTTACTTGTATTAAGGTTCAATGTTTTGACTGATAACTATCCATGTTGCCTAAAACAGAATAGTTGACCAACACTGAATTAATTTTAAATTCCAGCTAGTTTTGGTCTAAAATTTATAAGTTCTTTTTTTTAATGCAATTTGGTAGTTACTGCCATAAATACATGTTTCACATAAACTAATTGATTTTAGTTTATTAATTTTCAGCTCTCACACTTGAGATTTTCTGGTAAATTATTTTTTTCTAGGTGAATGAACACGTGTCTGTGCAAAGATTTTCCTATTCTAGTTATAGAAATGAAGTGATAGCTTACCATGTTTGAGGGGAGCAAATTACTCCTTTATTTTATTCGCCTGTATTAAGTTTTTAAATTCTGACTATTTCATTTTCATAAACAAGGTGTTATAAGTATTTACTAGAATGCAATCAAACCACCTAAGTATGTAATTCTAACACTCAAAACTTCGTATTTCTGTGTCATCAATTGTGGAGCCCATATCAAGAAAAGTTCACATTGTTGTACAACATGTATATTCTCGAGGTATAGCTTGGATAACCCATATGGTTTGTATTCTATAGGGAAAATGATCACTCTATAACTCAGAATTTTCTATATTTATGTTTTCAACCTAATTTCTGGTGAAGTTCTTTGATAATACTTTCTGCGGCTTAAAAATTTTCCAAGGAAAATAGACACATTTTAAAAACATTTGGCCACTTTTTTTTATCTTGCTCTTTCTTATTTCGATTCATTTATTATTTTCTAAAACTTATTTAGCTGAAGGTATTGAAACTCAAGTTGTGATGTTGAAAAGGTAAACTTTACGGATTGGGCCAAACAAAAAACTGATACTTTAAGCCTTGAGGGAAGGTGAAGGATGTTACTGTAGAATGTAAAGCAATGAGTTGTCATTTCCCGTTGTGATTATGAGATGGTGACAATTGAAATAATGAGGAGGAAAGGAAGGGTTGAGGGGCAGGGGTATGCAACTTGTGGGATGGATCTTGATTGGCTTGTACTAATTTGAATTGCATTGGTTTATTTTCTGTGCAATTTTTGGCTCAATCAGCTGCTCATGTATCTCCAATGTGGGTTTTGCCTTAGCTTATATTCCATTTCAGAAGAGTTTTTTCTTCTTATCATTGTCCTTGTATAATTTACGTCTCATTTAATCATGATATTCTTATTTGCTTCTAATAGAGGTCTGACCGTTTGCATATTTAAAAGTCTTCATCATTCATTTTCAGGCGTCAAAAGCATTACAATTGTGTATTGAAATAATATGGACATATGTCAAACTCATGTGCGGTACGTACTCATCTAAGTCAAAGGGAGTCTACAGCGATAATATGGCTGAAGTTCAATATAAAGATGCCATTAATGATGCATTGTCAAGGATTGCTACAGTAATTGATTTTCTTTACAAATGTGGTGCCAAAAACATAAAAGAAATCATCATTAAAAGTCTTTATAAACTCTCTGCTGCTGAAGATATACTCCATGACATGACTGGCTTATTGACCTTGATGAAACAGTGGGTTAAGGTAACACTGTAAATTTATTTTATAGTCTTTACTTTCTGCTATAAGGTTGGTCTAAATTTTTGACTTTCCTTTTGTAAGCTTAGATCACATGTAAAGAATTTAAGGATGTTGATGCGGTTGATAATGCACCAGTTCTCTATTCCTCACTACTGGACTATCATTCGACTTGGTCAATGAAAATAATAAGCATAATCCTTGAGCAGGTCTGGACACTTATTTTTTCTTTGTGATTGCTTTAATTTTTGGTAATTTGTTTTATTTGCAAATTGTCTGAGTGCTTTCTGAATTCTTGCAGGAACTTGTTGCCTATAACCTGATGGAATCTCGAAATCCAAAGTTATGTCAAAAAATGGAATTAAAAGTTATGGATTTTCTTTTAAAAGATGTGTATACCTCGAAAGATTATAACCTGCAAAGATCTAGGGTTTTAGTCACCAAAGGAAGGGCTTTTAGGGCTCATGGAACAGAAGGCTTAAGCAAGTGTCTTGAATGCCTTTCTGAAGCTATTTCCTTACTTGTGTGTTCCTTTTTTCCTTCTCTGTTATTGCACATTTTATTAGATTGTTTTGTTTTTGCATAATATTGTTTTCAATCTCATGCCCATAAGTGGTTGACATCTCATTCTAAATGTAACAGAGATTCATATCTGATGATTCTTCTCAAGATATTGCTTCAGTTTCTCATCAATTGGCCCTCACATACATCTTGTATGCACATTGTGCCCAGGAGGCTAATCAAGACTGTGGTGTAAGTTTTCTATGAGCATTTCTTAGGACTATCTGAAGCAAATGTTAGTGATGCTGTCTTTGTGGATATTAGAGCCAGAGGGAGTAAGAACTAAGAACTACAATAGAATTTCCTGTATCTTAACCTTTTTGTGTCTGGACAGGTAATCCTGCATAATGTTCATTGCGCACTGAATTTATGGTCGGAAATGAATGTCCAAGGTTATTGTTCTCCTAGCAACTACCATCAATGGGGAACAATGAGTATTTTGCCCCTCTTATGCTCTATGGTTGATTTGTTGTCATTAAAGGTAAAATGATAACTTTGGAGATGCTCTTGTTTGTCCGTCAAAACTTTCTTGCTTTCAGCTTGCTGGTATCAATTCTGTGCAGTAACTTTTACTATGATTATGCCACTCTTCAGGGTTGCTTGAAATTTCAACTTGAAATCTGTAAGGTGATAATCAGATTCTCCATGCTGGAGAATATGTTGTCAGAGAAATGCATTTTCATGCTATGGTCTAACAGAAGGCTTAACCATTCACTTTGTAGCTCTCCAATTGATGAAGTTTTTGTTTTGAACATCTCAGAACAGTTTGGTTTAAATGTCAACTTTTTGGATTATTGGATAAATTGCATAAAACAACATCCTCCATCACAATGCATGTTATTGCAGAAGTTGTTCCCAAATGATTTTGTTCTTTCTGAAGCAACTGGACATTCTTCCAAAAGACCTTTCGGTGCACAAATTAGTACCGAAGAAGTTAAAGAGGTTGCAACATCCCTAGTTGCTGAGGTAATTCTTTTGGAAATGACTAAATTTCTAATCATTTTTGTCTTCATGGATCGGAGAAAGTACTTTACGTTCTATTGAGCCTTTTGTTTCTCTGTTTTAGGTTCCTTTCACCTATCAATCTGCTTTCATTGCTGCTTATCTTTACCATGATTTGTCTGAAAGGCTTTTCTCCAATGGAAGAATTTCTGAGGTAATGTATATGGGTGTGTTCTTAATTTCTCTATATATTTACTGCAGGCAGGGTTTTCCAGGAGGTTTGAACTCTAATTGTAATCATGATAGTAGAAGCTTCATTGATGTTTGAGTCTGAGAATGGCTATGGTTGATGGGATTTTCTAAGGGAAAGGGACAAGCAAAAAATTCTCTTTTTTGATGTTTCTAATAAATTCTTTGTATGTCTTTCTCTCTTGTCCTGCTAAATCTAATAGACTTGGTTCATCTACTACAACATTTAAAAGGATTTCTTTAAACATGTTTGTATAATTTTAGGGGATTTTGTCATTTTCTTTTCAATTGAACCCATAAGATCAGTATAGTAGCAGGTCTATGTTCTTAGGATAGGAGCGAGCAAGTCTATGTTCTTAGGCTAAAATGAAGAACATAGATGAGCCAAGTCTAATCTAAGAACTCTGTTAGACTTGTACAAGAATTGGAGAATGAAAACAGGATTGCCTGCGCCAGTGGAATTCTTTCCTGAGTGTTCCAACGAACCCAGAAGAGTTTCAAAAAGCTGGAAAGACCTTTCAATCAACAAGTTTTATTCTAGCTGCCCTATGAAGAGAGAATTCAATAACGGATTTCGGATCAAAGAAAAACTGCTAGGGAAGAAGTTGGAACTTGGAAAAGTGAGCCAAAGGCCTGAAGAGCTACGTCCCCTTACAAAAGGCTTTGCTAAAACGGGGGGGAGCGCATGATAGTTGCTTTCAAAGGCTAGATGCTCTGAGTGGGTCTTTCCCTAAGGTGTAGAGTCCCTATCTAGTCCCTTTGAGTTGAGCGTCTCTTTCATGTTTTGTCACTGCTAGGTTACGGTACCAATGTGTGTGGGGAATCTCTATATATTGGCTTGGGTATACTTGTAGGAGGTGTAGGGGAACTTACCCAGGATGACTAGAGTTTGAGCAAGCATTATGTGTTTAGAGGGGGTGCGTTAGCTTATTACTTCGGCGTGCCGACATCAATCAGATATTATAGGAGTGAGTCTCTAGTGGTTTTTGACTTTCTCCCATATTAGTGTAGCTATCTTAAATTCAATGAAATTGGGGCTAGTCACTGAAACAAGCAATAGGTAGAAAATGTTGCGCTTGCGCACCGGGCAATAAGTTCAAGTAAGCAATACAGTGTTTTTTAATCTATTCCATACAATGCAAGCAAGATAGATGGATTTGATTTCACTGTTGCGGTAATGCCTATTTATCTTGTGCCGGGCAAGAATGAAGTACCATTGTCTAGGGCGGTCCTTCTTTCAAATATGAATGAAACAAGTAAACAAGCAACAGAATGTTGTGCGAAAGAGCTCACTAATGCATGTCTTGCGTCGTTACTTGCTGAGTTCTTTTAGCTAGAGTTATGGAGTCAACAGTAAGCAGTATTGATATTTTAGCTAGAGAAGGATCTGTCTCTCCCGATACAACCAAGGAAGCAAGATAGCATCACGACACCTTTACCCCCAAAGAGGGCCACCCGTACGCCTTTCCTTTCCCTGTAACTAATTGTTCACAAATGAAAACCTTTCTATTTAAGCTTTTCCTGTAACATGAAAATGCATCTCAACTACGTTATTTATTTTATGCATCTAGTTTCTTGATTGTTTAACACTCTGATCCATATACTTGCTCGTCGAACTTATAAATTTTTTTTATTTACTGTAAGGAGCAAAAGTTCACACACACAACAGACTATAAACATTCTATTTTTACTTCATAAACAGTGTTTTTTATACTTTTTTTTTTTCTTGTTGAATAATAGATTCAAGACATCTATGACATTTACTTAAAAAAGGGCTTCTTGCCTATTCATTTTAAAGATACTCAATTCTTCTCTTATTATTACAAAACTTACATATCATAATACTTAATTATGGACTTTTTTTCTTGTTGAATAATAGATCAAAGATATCTTGAGGTTATACTTGTTACAACCCTATATTTATGGAAGATATCTTCTCTTATTATTACAAAACTCTATCTTACATGTCGTTTATCATATATAGATATAATTGCTGGATAACCCTTTCTTTTGAAAACTCACCATAATAATTATCTAGGAACTCTTTCATAATTTTTTTCGATGATTGGAAACCATATGCAAATATTTTTTCTTCTCTTTATAGTTTTTCATTAATTTCCTTTATAAATAAGTACCTTTCATGGTTGAATTTTGGGTTATAGACCAAATTGATTATCGAAAATAATTATTCACATTTTAATATTCCTTTAGTCATCTTGTTTTTTTTTTTTCAAAGTTTCATAGTGTGGCTTAACTTCTACATAACTTGAGCAATTCTTTAAAACGCTCTTGCTCCATTTGTTAGACATTTATTTAATTATCAAAATTTTGTTCACAAACTAGTCAGGCTAATCTTTGGTTGATTCGTTTAACTCTACCAACCAGGTCCTATTCTCTTATTAATTTTATTCTCTTGAAAGTTTTCTTTGCTTTGTTTGTTCTAAATTTAGGACAGACATATGAATTTTATACTTACTGTTATTGCTTATCTCTATATCTGTAGAATATTCATTGTGTAAGATAACAAAGTATCAAACTTACATTAATCTCCATTTCATTCGCTAAATAGCATCCTTCAGGCTTCATTATTTATAAATATTCTATAACCTAACTAAGATTCTTCCTTTCCCTAGCTTTAATAATCTGATAATTGTCATTTTCCTTTTCCTTAATACCATGCTTATCATAAGAATGACCATTAACTTTGTATTTTGTTGTGCTTATAACTTTTTTGCTCTTTTTAGCTATAATTAATATTCTTTTCTTTTCATATTTTCAATTTTGTAAACCTTTATTATTATTTTTTGGATCACAAATTGAACTTCTTCATGCCACAGCAAACTCTCTATTGAAGCTTTGCCTTCTCCTTTAGACTACTTAAGAATCTCCTTTGTCATCCTCCTGATTCTGGTGGTCATTAATCTTCACATGGTATTGGTATTGTCTCCATTCGAATTCTGAACTTCTTCAGTTTCAATCTTACTTCTAAGAGGCCTTGTATTATTATTGTTTTTAAATTCCATCATCTAATCATAGGACAACCAGTTATTATTTTCCTCTTCTATTTCCTAAAATATATATCTGTTGGCATCAAACTATGTTGATGAGTCAAGATTTCTTAGGATTACTTTAAAAAAATTTAAGTGGGTATTAATGATTATAAGATCATAGGATATAGCAAAATCTAAAATTATACTTTCCCTTCGTTCTTCTCCCGAATCCAAAACATTCCTTTAATTTTTTCCTTGTTCAATCCTTATGTGACAATTTGAATCTTCTCCAATGAAAAATATTTCAGTTGAAGTCATAAACTGGTTAATTCCATCTAGATTTTCTTAGAATTCCCATTTGTTTGGTCATGCAGTCCTATTGAGGGGTATAAATACTTACAAATTCAATATCTCTTCTTCTAACACAAATTTTAATGCTATAATTCTTTTCTGACTCTTTTCACCCTATCACTTTATCACCAAGTTCATTGTCTACAATAATGGCTACATAGTACACGCATTTAGTTTTTGTTGCCGAGCTGGTTTCATCATTATATCACATCAGTTGGAATTGATCATTTTCACCTATACATCTTAATACTTCCAATCTTGTATATTATTTTAATTTTTTTCTGGCATATTGTGATATCTTAATGGGAATATGATGCTTAGGCTCTTCTATATGCGAAAGAGGCACTCTGTCTGAGAAACAAAATTTTACGGAGGAAATTCATTTATACAGTTGTTGAACAGTCAGCGCAATCGAAGTCTGATGGAGTAACTCAATACAGAAATGATCACATCAGCCTTGTGCCAATTAGCAATGTTATCACTGACGTATGGCCAGATTTTAATAAATCAGGGAACTTAGATGACTCTCTTCTTAGTCCATGGAGTGTTCTCAGATGCTACCTTGAAAGTACATTTCAGGTTCATATTTTGTTGTTTAAGTTATAATCTATCATCATCTGTTTATTCTTAGATATCACAATTAATTTAACTCTCAGGTCGGGATTATCCATGAATCAACTGGTAATGGTGCTGAGGCAGAGTGTCTTTTTCGAATAGGAAAAAACATATCCTGTTTACAAGGTTTCCCAGTCCTTGCAATTGCTTTCACAATGCTGTTAGGTTTGTTTTCTTCTTATACTCTTTTGGTTGTCCTTGATGTTTCATCTATGTTTTTTTTGCTTGTGGACATCAATTCTGGAACTTCTTGTCAGGTCAATTATATCGTAGGAAACATCAATGGGACTTGGCCGAAAATGAGCTTAAATCTGCTAAGAAGCTGCTTGTGGAGTATGACAACATTATCTCATGCACTCGCTGCAAAATGGTCCTTGAGGTTACAATCGATATGCAAGTTGGTGATTTATACAGAAGTCTCTTTGACAAAGGCACTCAGATCAAGTCCACAGGAAGCTTATCTGATGCTCTGGGTTTATATAGATCAGCTCTTGAAAAGCTGGAACTTGCTGAGATGGTGAGTTGCATTGACATCTGTCAGAAACCAGAAGCTAATGGTGGCATATTACAAAATGATGATTCTATTAAGGAAGCCAGTAACAGAATTCAACAGACAATTAAATTATGCTCATCTACCAAGGAAGAAAACTCATCTGTATGCAGCATCTGCCGCTCACTGAATAGCCATAAAAGTGTTTTTCATACTCGGCAAGTGCCAAAGGAATCTGATGAGATAAGCCTTTTGAAAACTGTAAACAGAAAATCACAAGTCAAGAACATATCTAAAAAATCTTTAAGATGCTCAACAAAAAATCTTAATCATCAATCTAAAGCGAGGAGAAATGGTTCTAGTAACCAAGACAGTAATGTCATGAATGCCACATCTGTAGGATATAGCAAGTTCAATGGGTCTGCAAATCATGAGCTTTGTACTGAAGCAATCAGTTGTGGAGAACTTTTGAAGGAACACAATGGGGCTGCTGAAGCTGATTGTGGAGATAAAGAAGAATGGAAATGCAGCAAAATGGAGTGTTGGAGGTGCCTAATCCATCAAGTGATGGAAACTGGATTCATGCAAAATATTATTCATCTGCATTGGGAATGTCATCGTCGGCGTCTTGTACTGATGCTGCTCCTTAAGATAGGTACTGAACTTGGTAAAAAAAAGCCTGTTTATGAGATGGTTCACCATCTTGACATATTTGCTCCTTGAAGTTGCTGAATGCCATTTGTTTGTTCATTCATCAATATGCATTTCAGGCATTTAGTTATTTGTATGTGGTTTTTGTTTAGCAAAGTGTTTAGGTACTCACAATGGAAAGCATGGCGAGCATGAAGTACATGAAGTGTTTGGGCAATGTGTTTTGGTGATGTTCAATTGGAAATCCTTAAAGCATTGTGGAATGCCGGATTCCAGCTTAATTGAGTGTGTTGTGGATGAAAGTTTAGGTGATTTCTTTCGTATTGAACGTGCAGCAGTACTGTATAACATGAGTTGGTATTCGTTGAAGAAAATCATATCAGAGCATCCCAGGTGAGCTTGGACTAGATAATAGTATATAGGTAGTTTCTACTATATTTATTGCTTGAGTTGATTGATACTGTTCTAATCTATTTCTGTGTGTTTATTAGGATCCCTTGCTGCAGTCTTTCCAAGATCCAGATGTCCACCGTCCTTCGGTGGTTGCTTAAAGCCTTCATACTCTGCCAAGAAAGCCCTTTGCTTTTTCAGAAGGTTTTCAGCATATTCTTAACTTTATATTCCATGGAAGTTTGTTTATCAGTTGATTGCGGTGACATTTTCATGAGCGATATTTCATTTTTTGTCAACGATTTTTCACTTTGAGACAGTTTTGTTTTTTTATTTCCTTTATGGTACAGGTCTCTCGACTACTTTCTTCCATATTTCTGCTCACGACACTTGATGGCTCAATTTCTTTACCTTTGCAAACTGAAAATTCTATCTCTTTAAACCATTGGGCTGCATATTTCCATCAAGTCTCAGTTGGTACGTATCTACACTGCCAATATTATTCAAGGGACAAGGCCTGCAGCTCTAAGACTCCTGAGGTTTGTTGGTGATTTATTTAGCGTGCTTGATATTATGGATCTAATCTGTTTGTGCAGGGTTTCTTTCCATATGCCAGAACTTGTTTTGCATATACTTTATTCAGATGGCTATTACATTGATAGCTTGACTTTTCAATATTTGTTGATAATTTTTGTAAACTAATCTTAAACATGGTTCTGTCAATCCATAACTCTCTTAGTGGGCAGTTGACTGGGCATTTTCTTTTCTTTTCTTATTTTGAGGTAACCACTTAGCTGTGTTTATGAAGAATCAGTTATATGATTCTTGCACCACAAGTTTTACTAGGTCTCTCCTAGCCCCATTTTTTTCTCCTTATTTTTTTCTTCTTTTAATTTATACAGAAAACATGGTAAGATATCTAATTTAAAAATATCAATTTTAACTTCTATTTCTTGAATGAGATGTCACACCTTAATTAATGCTGATGTATCTATAAATGTATTCTATTATATGCTATTTTTCAACAGGATTACTGTTGACAAATTTCAAAAATACTTTTAGTAATGTTTAGGAAATTCAATTACTAAATTTTAGACAATTGACTTTTGTCAAAAAAGCAAATTTGAATTTAGAAAATCTTTACAATCCTTCTGACTCATTCCTAGATATGTGTCACAATTCAGGCCTACCAACTTGCTAACTCAGCCCATGACTTCCCTGGGTCTATTTTGGCATAATGCCACCTTGGTTAATCATTGTTCATACTGCACGAGTCCCAGAAGGGCCTGTATGATTCCTACATATCCCTGGGGAAATTTTTTTTCCCTTATGACTTAGATCAAAACAAGGAGAAAACCCAAGACAGGTTGGAGATAAATTTTCCAGCCAAATAATTCTAAATGCTAATGGGATTAGGAAAAAGAAACTACACTGATTTGGAGAGAAGAGTTAAATGTTTTCCTATCAAGGGTATGAATCCGAAACTAAAGGTTAATCTAATTCATTATTGGAAGGAAGACTTAAAGTCCTCAACCCAACTTCTATGCAGAATGAGATAGACTATTCTTTTTCTTCTGGGTGATTATCAAGCTGGTTTTTGCAGTTAATTCTTGTATCTACATTATGGAGTCTACAAAGTCTAATTTTAATGTTACTTTCTTTTCTTTCACAACTCCTATATATGAGTTCTCTGTAAATTCAAGGGGCATGCTTGTGTGTTTTCTGATCTATTGCAATAAAGGTATCTTAGTTGTTGAATAATTTCTCACTTCATTTCTTGGAGTCTTCTCCTCGTATTGGTGAACCATTTGTTAGTGGCAACACTGAACAATAAGATATGCAAAATTGTAAAGAAACCATTTGTAAGCAAGTTGGATGCAAAGAGAGGTTATTATTGATCTTTTAAAGCAAAATAAAAATAAAAAATCAATGTATGCAAAGCAACAAGGACCAGGGGCCCTGTTGGATAGAACAGCCAACAACTCTTTCATTAAATCTTTTTAAGTGCTTTTGAGGTCAAATTTAATCTGATTGTGAATGGACATGACTCCTCACCAGTTTGATGATATACTCATGTTTGTCAAAAATTGTCAGAAAGGTATAACCAAGTTTGGATTTGTGGGGTTTATGTAAGAAATTTTG